TTTTTTTTTTTTTTTTTTTTTAAATTTCTTACACATAAAAGTGAGAAGACGATGGTGTATAATCATGATTATTCAAATTTAAGACACTAGAACTATGTGCTATACACACATATTTTAAACAATAAATTGAATTCTTCAAGGTTCGAAACTTTTAGTTTTTTGTTAGTTTATGTCTTTGTTGAAAACTCTTGAAATTGGGGAGCATAACGATATAAAATTCGATTATTTAAATATATAATTTAATTGTGTTTGGAAATGTGAAAAATTCTTGAATTTATTCGAATTTCATTCTTTCATGAAAAATTCATAACGAAATAAATATTAAAATAAATTTTAATTTAATAACCCAGTGGTACTATGATTCGTTTTATTCAATACGTTTCAAACATACGTGAAACCAAGACGAAATAATAAGTTCAATAAAATGATGGGAGAAAATCGTGCAACGAATTTTACTTCCGATCCGCTACATGAAAAACGCTACACTTAAATCATCTATCGAAGAAAACACTCAATAATAATAATTCTATGACTCTAAATCTGAAATCATGGAATCGTCTTAGAATTCTTTCCAAACACAATTAAATTATACATTTGTAAATTTACAAATTTAATCGCAACTACCAAAATTACAAATGTAATATAATTCACGGTACAATGAAATCTACGAGCGACAAGTGTAATTTAATTTCACGAACGTGTTCTAAAATAATTCCAACAATTTGCCGTGAACTTCTTGTTTTGAATTCCCAGCCGCGTCAAAGCCGCGCTGGGAAACATCGTCGCACACCACCATCGGCAAAATTTCGATTTCGAACCGTTAATGCACGCGCGTGTGCACGTACGTACGTATTTACTGGTATCGGGCACGTAATTCGAGAATGCGATACCGAACCTCTAACAAGCAAATGGCACCCACCTACGTACTTCCCAGTGCAAAGACCTGAGCGGCGGTTTCGGGAATTCCTCGTAAAGTCTGCTCGGCGAATCTTCCAGCCGTTTGTAGTAACGGCGATCGTAGTCTTGAAATTTGTGCGCCCGAATATAATAGGCGACGTCCCGTATAACCTTGTTCTTGTCCCAGTTCGGGTCCAACTCCTCGCTGGCCTCATCCACGTCCGGCACGTCGGTTATTTTTATGTTAGGATTCATAACCTGTTCCGTCATCGGCACGGCCTCAATTTCCTTCTGTCCCTCCTCCATCTCCGCCTGCCCCTTCGTCGGTTCCTCGTCGTCTACCGGTTTCCCTCGATCCTCCACCGCGGCCCCAGACGTCGATATTGTAATTGGCAATGTCGTCCGCTCCGGCGCGCAACGCGCACCGAACACGCACAGATGCAGGAACGCGTGCCATATTATTCTCATCGTCGGCGGCCAATTTCCATATTCCGATGGCCGATCCTACGCTGTTCTGTCCGGCCGATGTTAACGCGGCAGTAAGATAAATATTTAAATATTCGTACGGCGGCGGGCAACGTCAGACGAGATCGAATCTACACGCTTGGCATGCAAATCGAAATGGAAGGAAAACTCTCTCTCCCCTCCCCTCCGTATATTTCCACCCCCTCGGCT